AAAAAAAAAAAAAAAAGTACAGGAAAATGATGCAATGTACATAAACTTGGACCAGTCTGAATTTATTCATATGGGCCCACTAAACACCTGTTGTTGTGTTGTTAAGTGCCGGCGAGTCGATTCCGACCCATAGAGACCCTGTATAGGATTTCCAAGGAGCAGCTGGTGAGCTTGAACCACTGACTTTGCAGTTCAAAGGACACATTAGCCCACAGCGCCACACCAGGACTCCCACTAAGCACAGTCTTTGTTTAATGTTTCAGGCTCAAGAGGTTAAGAAAGGATCTAGTGGTTTATTTGGCAGTTTCACTGAAGCATGGCTTGTGTGGACATCTATACTAAGACAAGCTGAAGTACCAAACTTGCCTTGGTATACTGTAGAATAATCTCTCTAAAAGTTTAGGGAAATTGGCATGTTAGAGTGGGTGTATGTCAGATTAGATCCATACACCCCCCACATGGAATTCCCAGAGGACACACTTTTTACCATAATGATGAGGAACAAATTTGTGAAGGGAGCCCCAGCATCCTAAAGACTGCTATGGTTTAGCTATTTTGTGTTAGATTTGACAGTGGGAACTGCTCTAATTGAATTAAGACACTTAACTATAATACCACCACTCATCTGTCAGTTTGTCACACTGTGGTGGCTTGTGAGTTGCTGCGATTCTGGAAGCTATGCCACAGGTATTTTAAATACCAGCAGGGTCACCCATTGTGGACAGGTTTCAGATGAGCTTCCAGATGAAGACAGACTAGGAAGGAGTGATGAACTACTTCCAAACATTTAGTCACTGAAAACCTTCTGAACAGCAGGGAAACACTGTCAGATATAGTGCCAGAAAATGAGCCTCTCAGGTTGGAAGACACTCATAATGCGACTGGGGAAGAGCTGCCTCCTCAAAGTAGAGTTGACCGTGATGACGTGAATGGAGTAAAACCCATGGGACCTTCATTTGCTGTTAGGGCACAACTCAAAATGAAGAGAAACAGCTGTAAACACCCATTAATATTTGGAACAATGCACAAAGTATGAATCTAGGAAAATTGGAAATTGTCAAAAATGAAATGGAATGCATAAACATCGATATATTAGCCATTAGTGAGCTGAAATGGACTGGTATTGGCCATTATGAATCTGACAACTACATGGTTTACTATGCCGGGAATGACAAATTGAAGAGGAATGGTGTTGCATTCATTGTCAAAAAGAATATATCCAGATCAGTCATGAGGTACAGTGCTGTTTGTAATAGGATATTATCCATGCACCTACAGGGAAGACCAGTTAATGCCACTCTTACTCAAATTCACGCACCAACCACTAAAGCCAGTGAGGATGAAATAGAAGAATTCTACTAACTTCTTCAATCTGAAATTGATCAAACATGCAATCAAGATGTATTGATCATTACTGGTGATTGGAATGCAAAGGTTGGGAGTAAAGAGGAAGGATCAGTACTTGGAAATTATGGCCTTGGTGATAAAAATGATGCTGAAGATTGCATGATAGAATTCTGCAAAATCATTGATGTGTTCATTTCAAACATCTTTAGACAGCATAAGAGATGATTACACATGGACCTTACCAGATGAAATACACAGAAATCAAATTGACTACATCTGTGGAAGAGACAATGGAAAAGCTCCATATCATCAGCCAACACAAGGCCAGGGGCAGACTGTGGAACAGACCATCAACTGCTCATATGCAAATTCAAACTGAAGCTGAAGAAAATGAAAACAAGTCCACGAGAGCCAAAATATGACCTTGAATATATCCCACCTGAATTTAGAGATCTGAAGAACAGATTTGATACATTAAACAAAAAGACCAAAGACCAGAAGGGTTGTGGGATGACAACAAGAACATCATACATGAAGAAAGCAAAAAGTCATTAAGAAGACAAGAAAGAAGGAAAAGATCAAGATGGATGTCAGAAGAGACTCTGAAACTTGCTCTCCAGCGTAGAGATGCTAAAGCAAATGGAAGAAATGAGGAGGTACAAGAGCTGAACAGAAAATTTCAAAGGTCAGCTCGAGATGACAAAGTCAAATATTACAATGAAATATGCAAAGATCTGGAGTCAGAAAACCAAAGGGAAGAACACGCTCAGCATTTCTCAAGCTGGGGGAACTAAAGAAAAAATTCAAGCCTCAATTTTCATTATTGAAGGATTCTCTGGGCAAATTATTGAATGATGCAGAAAGCATCATAATAAGATGGAAGGAATACACTGAGTCACTGTACCAAAAGGAAATGGTTGATTAACCATTTCAAGAGATAGTATATGATCAAGAGCCAATGATTCTGAAGGAAGAAGTCCAAGGTGTATTGAAGTCCAAGGTGTATTGAAGGAATTGGCAAAGAACAAGGCACTGGGAATTGATGGAATACAAATTGAATCATTAAACAAAGTGAGGCGGCACTTGAGACACTCAAACATCTATGCCAAGAAATTTGGAAGACAACTATCTAGCCAATTTATTGGAAGACGTCCATATTTGTGTCCTTTCCAAAGAGAGGTGACCCAACAGAATGTGGAAATCATTGAACAATATCTTTGATATCCCTTGCAAGTAAAGTTTTACTAAAGGTAATACAGAAACAGCTGCAAGCATACATTGACAGAGAACTTCCAGATTCAGAAGAGGATGTGGAATGAAGGATATCATTGCTGATGTTTGATGGATCTTGGCTGAAAGTAGAGAATACCAGAAAGATGTTGGGCTGATTGGCTGTGTGCCTTGAAGTCGGTTCCGATTCATAGCGACCCTGTACAGGGTTTCCAAGGCTGTACATCCTTATGGGAGCAGAATGCCTCATCTTTCTCCCATAGAACAGCTGGTAGTTTTGAACTGCTGACCTTGCAGTTTGCAGCCTGAATCGTAACCACTATGCTACCAGAAAGATGTTTACCTATGTTTTATTTACTACACAAAGGCTTTCAATTGTGTGGATCATGGCAAGCTATGGACAACATTGCAAAGTTTGAGTATTCCTGAACACTTAATTGTGCTCATGAGGAATCTGTACATGTACCAAGAGGCAGTTGTTTGAACAGAACATGGGAACACTGAATGGCTTTAAATTAAGAAAGGTGTGTAACAGGGTTGTATTCTTTCACCATACCTATTCAACCTGTATGTTGAGCAAATAACCTGAGAAGCTGGGTTATATGAAGAAAAACGTGGCATCAGGATTGGAGGAAGACTCATTAACAACCTGTGATATGCAGATGAT